TTTATTATCTAAAAAATAAAATTATTCTCAACCTAAAATAGGTCACATCAGTTCCCATGTGACAATACTATAACACTTATATGAAACAAACAATTCAGTATTTGAGATTCAACTACTACTACCTCTGTAAATTCATGATAATCCAATTTAATGTATTATACTTATGATATATTGAAGCGTGTGTTATATATATTAAAAAAAAATGTTTTTGGTCTTGGAACATGGTCCATATAAATTGATAAACGAATGAGTGTGTGATGCGTAAACAAAGCCATATACGTTCGTCAATCACGGGCTTCCATTACCTCCTGTCCTCCTTTTCTTGTGGGTTCGGTTTTTTTTCCTTTTTCCAAAATTTAGATTTATTTTCTTCTAACAACGACCATTCTTTTTCACATTTTCACAAAATTCACCATTTTCTTTTGTTCTTCTAGCATAGCCAAAGTCAACTAAAACCAAAGTCTTTTCTTTCTCACAAATGTCTCTCACCTAACCAACCACACCCAATTAATGTTTATTTTCTGGGTGAAATTTCGGCTTCAGTGTTTAAAATTTAAAATACGTAAATGAAAATGCAAACATTAATGGAGCTAAGGTTGTTGTGGAATTTAATGATAGTAATAATTGGTGCATGCAGCACGAGGGAGCAGTGAAGGAAGAAGGAAGAGGTCCAACGATATGGGACACATTCTCCCACACTTTTGGTAAAATCACCGATTTTAGCAACGCCGATGTTGCTGTTGATCAGTACCATCGTTACGAGGTAAAACTCAACTTGTTTAGTACTAGTCGTATAATTTAACAAATTGTCAATAGATAATATACATTTCCAAAAAAAAAAATGTTAATTGAAATTATAAAATGGTGAGGACAGGAAGATGTACAACTCATGAAGAATATGGGAATGGACGCTTATAGATTTTCCATTTCGTGGACACGCATCTTTCCAAGTATGCTTTTTTTTTTTTAAATCAGTTATGGTTTTTTAATTTTATCTTCAAAATGTTTAGGACTTTCAATGGAGTGATTTGATGATATTATTATGTGTGGTTTACAGATGGCGTGGGACAAATAAACGAAGCCGGGATCGATCACTACAACAAACTCATTAATGCTTTACTTGCTAAAGGTAGTATTTATTTTATTTTTATTTTACAATGATTTCAAGGGTCTTATTTTACCTAGTAGTTACTTGATGCTTAGATTAATCATTAATGCGTTTGGTGAAGATATTATTTCGAATTTGTGGTTCTAGGAATCAAGCCGTACGTGACGCTGTACCATTGGGACCTTCCTCAGACACTCCATGATCGATACCTCGGTTGGCTAAACCCACAAATCATGTAATAATCCTTACAAAAAAACATAAAAACATTTCAATAAAACTACTATTACGTTACGTATATAGACAGTAGACGCTGACTTCGAAAGGAAATATATGATTTTTTCTATGCAGAAATGATTTTGCGGCGTATGCTGAGGTTTGTTTCCAGAGATTTGGAGATAGAGTGAAGCATTGGATCACGTTCAACGAGCCACACACATTCTCGATACAAGGCTATGACGTTGGCCTTCAAGCTCCAGGCCGTTGCAGCATTCTTTTTAAGCTCACTTGTCGCGCCGGAAACTCATCCACCGAGCCTTATATCGTCGGTCACAATGTTATTCTCACTCACGCCACCGTTTCCGATATCTACAGGAAAAAGTATAAGGTAAGTCAATACTATACTAAAAACATTATAAATAGATGAAAATATACAAGATATATAGTTTTGATGTATAAATTATGATAGGCAAAGCAAGGAGGTTCGTTAGGGATAGCGTTTGATGTAATGTGGTTCGAGCCGGAGTCCAACAAGACTGAGGACATTGAAGCTGCACAAAGAGCTCAAGACTTTCAACTTGGCTGGTATAAGTCTCTTACATAACTCTGATTCTGTTCCATAATTTATATCAAAGTGATATATCTTAATACGACCTTGATCAGGTTTTTGGATCCGTTGATGTTTGGGGATTACCCGAGTTCGATGATAAGCAGAGTCGGAAGCAGATTGCCAGTGTTTACAGGAGCTCAATCTGCTCTGGTGAAGGGTTCTCTAGATTTTGTAGGGATCAATCATTACACAACGTACTACGCAAGGAACAATGCCACCAATCTCATTGGCACCCTCCTACACGACGCTATTTCGGATTCTGGAACCGTCACTCTACGTACAATATCATACTTTTCTCTCACTTAAACATAAGTAATTATGAGTATCTGATATAACTTAATCTTCTTTCTTTCAAATTCCAGCTTTTAAGGGTTTAAGGGCAATTGGAGATAGGGTAATAAATGTTATCAACTCTTTTTAGTTATACATCTCCCAAATTCATTAGAACCGTCGAATTTCTCTAAGCGAGTGTTATTTTTGTTGTTGTCGTGGACAGGCTAGTTCAATATGGCTGTACATAGTGCCTAGAGGGATGAGAAGCTTGATGAATTACATCAAGCAGAGATATGGAAACCCTCCAGTCTTTATCACTGAAAATGGTAAAATTAAGCACACATCCTTAAAACCCTTAAGCCAAGAAAGAGAGTTTGTGATGATGATGATGATTTGTTTGTGTGTTGTTTAGGAATGGACGATCCAAACAACTTTCTGATCTCAAGAAAAGAAGCTCTCAAAGATGAGAAGAGAATTAGATATCATCATGATTATCTTTCGAGCTTACAAGCATCGATTAAAGAGGATGGATGCAATGTGAAAGGCTACTTTGTGTGGTCACTATTAGACAATTGGGAATGGGCAGCTGGTTACAGTTCAAGGTTTGGTCTCTATTTTGTTGATTATAGAGACAGTCTCAAGAGATACCCTAAGGACTCAGTTCATTGGTTCACTTCTTTCTTGAACTCCACTTCTTGATTTCCCTTTCTTTAATTTTAATGATTCTCCCATTTTATTGGTTTAGCTTCATGTATACAGAATTTTAAGGTTGGATTACTTATGGATTTCGATTTAGAAGAATATATTAAGCACACACAAAATCATTGAAAGTTAGATGTCATCGAGAGATAGTTTAACCCTACGTTGCATGGAAACGTAATAAAAGTGGCGTTTCCGTTTCGGAAACATAAACGCGACGGAAACGCGAGGAAACGCGATGGAAATGCGTTTCCTAAATATCCCGATTTGGAAACGTTTTGGAAACGTGTTTCCACAGTTGGAAACGCGGCCGGAAGTGTTTCCAAAATTGGAAACGTGAATTTTAGTTTTTTTTTTTAAATTAATTTTGGTTTTGAAAACAAATTAAATAAATATTTTGAAAATATAGGGATTTGTTTGATAGTTTTAATAAGTTTTAAAACCTAATTATTAAACACTAATACATTATTTTTCTCTAATCGTCACCGTAACCTAAAAACGTAGAAGAGTCGAAGAGATAAATAAGATATTTTTTTCAATTACAGTAGATTTGTTATTGATTATTAAAATTGTGAAGTCGTATACAAAAACGAAGTGTTTTTTTTTTCGAGTCGGATTAGATTTGTGTTGTCTCAAATATTTTAAAACTATTGATAATTTTGGTTTCATGATATATATATATATACGTTTTCAAAACGTTTCCGTTTCCTTTTTTTAAAGAAAAATCGTTTCCGCGTTTTCTAACGTTTCGCTTCTA